GGTGGCAGCCGGTGTCGGGGGGAGAGAGGAGCCGGGCGGCCCCCGGCGCAGCCGTGCAGGTGAGGAATTGGGGGGTGGGAGAGGACCCCACCGGCCACGGTCGTCCCGAGGGACCTGGGGAGGTGAGAAACCCCCCCCAGAGGTTCCCCATGGCCAACTGTAGGGTCCTGCACGGGGGTGGGGGCAACCTGGTTTAGCGGGAGGTGTCCCGTGGAACGAGATGGTCTTCAAGGTCCCCTTCCAACCCAAACCGGTCTGTGGTTGGCTTCGATTCACCTCCCCAATGGGTGAGGATGGTCCCGGTGGGGTGGTCCTTTGGAGGTCGTCCCTCCGCCGTCCTCCTCCACCCCGCAGCTCCTCGCCAACGGTGGTGGATGTCCGGGGCGCCGTCCCATCACTCAAAAAAACCCCATAACTCAACCTCCTGTCTAACCCCGCAGGAGACGGGATGCGGCGGGAGGATGAAGGATGTCCTGGTGGAACCAAAGTGGGTGAGACGGTGGTAAAATCCGAAGGGACTCACCATGGGAGAGCTTCTGAGAGCGCCCGGGGCACGGAGGGGTGCCCAGGGGTGGAGGAGAAGGACGGATTCACCCGCGGTGAGTGCGATCAGCAGCTCTTTGCAGGAGAGAGTCTCTACGAATGTTTCCACTGCAAGAAATGCTTCCAGGACAGGTCGGAGCTCATTTGCCACCAGAGGTTGCACCAAGGTGGAAAGACTTTTAAATGCCAAGAGTGCGGAAAGGAGTTTGGGAAGAGCTCGGACCTTAGTTCCCATCAGAAAAGCCACATGGTGGAAAAGCCCTACCAGTGCTCGACGTGCGAGAAGTTCTTCAAGGACCGCTCCACCCTCATCAGGCACGAGCGAGTGCACACGGGCGAGAAGCCCTACAAGTGTCTGGAGTGCGGGAAGAGGTTCACCCGCAGCTCGGACATCATCGTCCACCAGCGGATTCACACGGGGGAGAAACCCTTCGAGTGCTCCGAGTGCGGGAAGAGGTTCAGCCAACGGTCCAACCTCTTCACCCACCAGATCGTCCACACGGGGGAGAAACCCTTCACCTGCCACCAGTGCGGGAAAACCTTTGCCCGCAGATCGGAGCTCACCATCCATCAGCGAACGCACACCGAGGAGAAACCCTACCAGTGCTCCCAGTGTGAAAAATCCTTCCGGGGAAGGTACGGACTCTTCAGGCACGAGCGGTTGCACACGGGGGAGAAACCCTACGAGTGCTCTGAGTGCGGGAAGAGCTTCGGCCAGAGCGGGGACCTCATCACCCACCAGCGCTTCCACACGGGGGAGAAGCCCTACCACTGCTCCCAGTGCGGGAAGTTCTTCTGCAATAAATCCAGCCTCGTCAAACACCAGAAGTGGCACTCGGGGGAGAAGCCCTACAAGTGCCACGAGTGCGGGAAGAGCTTCGGGCAGAGCTCGGACCTCATCGCCCACCAGCGGACCCACACCGGGGAGAAGCCCTACCCCTGTGCCGAGTGCGGGAAGAGGTTCACCAGGAAATCCAGCCTCATCGTCCATCAGCGGGGACACAGAGGACAGAGAACTGGAGAATGTGCAAAATGTGGGAAGGGCTTGGAGGAAGGCTCTGGGAGCGTGGGGATGGGAGACAGCTTGTCCCCGTGCTCCAAGTGTGCAAAGACCCTCGAGGAAGCATCAAGCCTCCTTGACCGGCAGAGGTGATGCAGAGAAGAAGAAACCTCCCAAGTGCCTGGAAGAGGAGAAACAGCTTGGCTTGGCTTGGCCTGGTCTTGCTTGACTTGGTCTTGCTTGACTTGGTCTTGCTTGGCCTGGTCTTGCTTGGCTTGGTCTTGCTTGGCCTGGCTTGGCTTGGTCTTGTTTGGCTTGGTCTTGATTGGCCTGGTCTTTCTTGGCTTGGTCTTGCTTGGCCTGGTTCTTGCTTGGCCTGGTCTTTCTTGGCTTGGCTTGGTCTCGGCAAGACGAGAAGCGAGAGCAGCGTGGAACATCCTCCCGTGTGAGACAACCTTATTTTTTTGTTGCGTGTTGGAGACTACTCAGGGGAAGAAGAAGAGAGTCAAACGCTGCAGTGTGGCTTCACCGGTGATGGAAAAAAGGCCAATTCCTCCTAATTCCTCCCATCATCGCATAGATCGTTGAGTAGCCTTCACTTTGCTCCTCCAGCAGCTTCATCCAAACTCTTCACCCCCTGGTGAGAGCCTTCCCCTCACCCAACTCCTCTTTTTTCCACCATCTCACTGTTATATTTTTTTAAGGGTAGCTGAGACATGGTCCAAGTGTCCGTTGCACGTCCCACCTCGATGTGTTAAACCCTGACTTAAAAAAAGACAACCCCAAAGGAGGTTGGTTGTTCCTAAGGAGATTTTTTATTTTCATATTTGTGCACACGATAAAAATCTAAGGAAATTTTATATTGCTAGAGGAACGTTAGAGGAACGAGCAGTTTTCCTCCAGAAGGTGCAGATGGTTTTAAGGGCTGAGAATGTCAAACCATTTCCACTGTGGACGTTGGGGAGTGGAAGGAGCGTCCGCTTCACCCCATCCGAAGGCAAAGCGTGAGAGTTCGGTGAAGGGCTCCGTGTCCCAAAATTTCTATCAAATTGTTCAATAAATAACCCGTTTCTTTCCTGCGCTGGGTCATCGTTGTTGGGTGGGGTAACCACGCCGCCAGGGGAACATCTAGGGGTGAGATGTTCCTCCAGCAGACCCAGGCTGGTGGCCCCACAGTGGCCTTGGAGGATCTGGGGGGGGTTCGAGCCATGCGCTGACATCCCGGTGATGTTCCCACCCAGCAGCTGGGCACAGCAAGAGGATGGGGTGGACACCACCACCCTGTAGATGCTCCATGATGGCAGGAGGGTCTCCCAGGAGGGATGTCGGGGTCCCACTGAGGCCACATGGGTTGAGAGGGGGGTCACCAACCCCTCTAAAAACCACCCCCCATGACTCCGGGGGTCCACACTGGGAGCAGTTGGGGGGGTGCAACAAGCTGGGATGGGGACCCAGGCATCTGGGGTGGGACGCCCCCACTATTTGCACCCCCTCCAGGGGGTTGGTGGGGGTGTGCGTGTGTGTGTGTTGCAGAGGGGATGGAGACCCCCACACTTCACCAAGTGAAAATTAAAAAAAAAAAATAAATCAATGAATCAAAAATGAATTTGGGGGGGATGTGTGTGTGGAGGTGTCTCCATCCTTGGAGATGTTCAACCCTGGCCTGGCCACAGCTCTGAGCCACGTGACGGTGCCGCCTCTGCCTGGAATATAGAGGGGATGGTGCCATCACCACCAGGAGATGGGAAGATCCCTACTGGGCTTCCCAGAGACTCCCTTTAAGGTCTAAGGTGGCCACTGTGGAAAATAAAAGTAGCCACAAAGCTGCATTTGGCCAAGAAGCAATCGTGAGAGCCTCACTTCTCTATCCAAACCCATAAACCATTCAGAAACCCCGTGTGACGTGACCCTCGCCACCACGAGATGCCATTTTTAACACAACTCCAACCCAACCACGCACGGACCAGCACAGGAGGAACCCACCAACCGTCTTTTTCCTATTCAAACGTCTCTGTGGTACCACAATTACGGCTTAGATGCTCAATTTTTGGCTGTCGGTGACACACTGACTGCCCCGATGGACCATCTAGCGGTGGCTTTGGCACGTTGGGTTGATGGTTGGATTTGATGAGCTTAAAGGTCCATCTTAGACGATTCTTTGATTCTAAATACGTGAGAGATTCGCGCTGGTTTACGGCCAGAAAGTTGTAGGTCGGCGGCGTCAAGGGAGAAGGTGGAAACAACCACCCCAGCGAGCAGAGGCGATTGCCGTGCTGTTTCTGCAGATCTTTGTTGTGGTGGCCACCACGGAGCAGCTGGAGGCCTTTGGAGGAAAGGGGGAGATGAGGAGATGAAAGGGGACGGGAGGGAGGTCCCACAGCACGAAGAGGAGGAAGAGGACACCAAAGAGCCAAACTCTCAGCGAAATACCTGTAGCGCCCCGATGGCTGTGGACCTTCTCTCGTGCTGGGTCCCGGAAGCCCGGTGAGGGACGTGTAGGTCTTCTTCATCCCTGGGAGCCTGTGTGTAGCACGGCAAAGCCAAGCAGACGCTGGTTCTTCTGGAAACCATGGCAGAAACCTGCTGGCCAACGAGACCAGTTTGCCCAGTCGAGGTCAGGCTTCAGTTGGAGTTTCCTGCACCAAGTCTCGTTTTTGGCTCCACTGACCAAATCTGAGCAGCTTCCGCGCTCAACCCCACCTCGGGAAGAAGAGAAACCCACTCTCCGCCCTCAAATAAACCCCCAAACCCTCCCAGCTCCCCCAAAAAGCTGTTGGGAAAGCGTGACTTCCCCCAAAATTGCTTTCCTCCAGGATGCAGAGCTGGAAGGGAGGAGGTCCGGCCCCGGGCCAGGTCCCGGTGACTTGGTTTCACCACGATCGCCCTGGTTTGGGTTACGAACAGTCAGCGCCCATCCCGTGGTCACCAACATCTTTACGAAGCTCTTGGCACATTTTGCCCCTTTTCTTCGCTTTTTAACGGCGGCAACTTCTCCGTCGCAAATAAAAATACAATATATGGCAAAAAAACCCCAAACCAAAACCAAAAAAAACCCAAATAAGGAAAAACCATGATATTCCTCAGGAGCGGAGCGCCTTTTTGTTTTTTTTTTTTAATTGAGGGCGCATCCGTACATGGGGGAGGGGAGGGCGGTGGTGGGGGTGGCGGTGGTGGGAAGAGCGATTTTGAGGGTATTTTTGGGGCGCTGGTGGGTTCCCAGCCTGGAAAGCGTCCAAGGATGGGAGGATGGACGTTGGAGACGGATGATGGAAGAGCCTGAAGCAGCAGATGGTTTGAGTGGGGGGGGGAGCGCGGACCAAACCCTTTGAGCAAACTCAATAATAAGAGGCAATAATTAGAAACAACACAACAACAACAAAAAAGAGTATATTATTTACTATTCGGCCTACTTTAGATCACTTGCGTGGTTTGGGTGGTTCCCCCCCCCCATTTTTGCAGTCTTTAAAACTGAAGAATTTTACCTCGAAGCGCTGATTTATTTTATTTTTTTTTTTTTTTTTTCTCTTTCATGTAATGACATCTCAACTCTCTCCAAAAGTCCTTCCTCGCTCCGGCCACTTACGGAACCGTTTCTCCCCCATTGTCATCTTTGATTTTCGATGGGGTTCGACCCTTCCTTGAAACCCTCCACGCACTGAGGGCACTGGAGACCGTCCTTCCCCGTCCTCGTGCCGAAAGATGCGTTGGGCTGGAAGCTTCTCCCACATTCCCGGCACTGGTGGAGTCCCCCCTTGTGCACCTTCTGATGGACAATGAGGTTGGATCTTCTGCTGAAGCTCTTCCCACAGACCGGGCAGGGGTAGGGCTTCTCCCCCGTGGGGAAACGTTGATGCGCGATGAGGTCCCCGCTCTGGCCGAAGCTCTTCCCGCACTCGCCGCAGGCGTAGGGGTTGACCCCCGTGTGCAGCCTCTCGTGCCTGAAGAGGGTCGACCGCCCGCTGAAGAACTTCTCGCACTCGGAGCAGTGGTAGGGCTTCTCCCCCGTGGGGAAACGTTGATGCGCGATGAGGTCCCCGCTCTGGCCGAAGCTCTTCCCGCAGACCGGGCAGGGGTAGGGCTTCTCCCCCGTGGGGAAACGTTGATGCGCGATGAGGTCCCCGCTCTGGCCGAAGCTCTTCCCGCACTCGCCGCAGGCGTAGGGTTTGACCCCCGTGTGCAGCCTCTCGTGCCTGAAGAGGGTCGACCGCCCCCTGAAGAACTTCTCGCACTCGGAGCAGTGGTAGGGCTTCTCCCCGGTGTGGGTCCGCTGGTGGACGATGAGCTCCGAGCTCTGCCCAAAGCTCTGCCCGCACTCCTGACACTTGTAGGGCTTCTCCCCGGCGTGCAACCGCTGGTGTCGCACCAGGCTGGACCTGTTGCTGAAGAACTTTCTGCACTGGGAGCACTGGTAGGGCTTCTCCCCGGCGTGCAACCGCTGGTGTCGCACCAGGCTGGACCTGTTGCTGAAGAACTTTCTGCACTGGGAGCACTGGTAGGGCTTCTCCCCGGCGTGCAACCGCTGGTGTCGCACCAGGCTGGACCTGTTGCTGAAGAACTTTCTGCACTGGGAGCACTGGTAGGGCTTCTCCCCGGCGTGCAACCGCTGGTGTCGCACCAGGCTGGACCTGTTGCTGAAGAACTTTCTGCACTGGGAGCACTGGTAGGGCTTCTCCCCGGCGTGCAACCGCTGGTGTCGCACCAGGCTGGACCTGTTGCTGAAGAACTTTCTGCACTGGGAGCACTGGTAGGGCTTCTCCCCGGCGTGCAACCGCTGGTGTCGCACCAGGCTGGACCTGTTGCTGAAGAACTTTCTGCACTGGGAGCACTGGTAGGGCTTCTCCCCGGCGTGCAACCGCTGGTGTCGCACCAGGCTGGACCTGTTGCTGAAGAACTTTCTGCACTGGGAGCACTGGTAGGGCTTCTCCCCGGCGTGCAACCGCTGGTGTCGCACCAGGCTGGACCTGTTGCTGAAGAACTTTCTGCACTGGGAGCACTGGTAGGGCTTCTCCCCGGCGTGCAACCGCTGGTGTCGCACCAGGCTGGACCTGTTGCTGAAGAACTTTCTGCACTGGGAGCACTGGTAGGGCTTCTCCCCGGCGTGCAACCGCTGGTGTCGCACCAGGCTGGACCTGTTGCTGAAGAACTTTCTGCACTGGGAGCACTGGTAGGGCTTCTCCCCGGCGTGCAACCGCTGGTGTCGCACCAGGCTGGACCTGTTGCTGAAGAACTTTCTGCACTGGGAGCACTGGTAGGGCTTCTCCCCGGCGTGCAACCGCTGGTGTCGCACCAGGCTGGACCTGTTGCTGAAGAACTTTCTGCACTGGGAGCACTGGTAGGGCTTCTCCCCGGCGTGCAACCGCTGGTGTCGCACCAGGCTGGACCTGTTGCTGAAGAACTTTCTGCACTGGGAGCACTGGTAGGGCTTCTCCCCGGCGTGCAACCGCTGGTGTCGCACCAGGCTGGACCTGTTGCTGAAGAACTTTCTGCACTGGGAGCACTGGTAGGGCTTCTCCCCGGCGTGCAACCGCTGGTGTCGCACCAGGCTGGACCTGTTGCTGAAGAACTTTCTGCACTGGGAGCACTGGTAGGGCTTCTCCCCGGCGTGCAACCGCTGGTGTCGCACCAGGCTGGACCTGTTGCTGAAGAACTTTCTGCACTGGGAGCACTGGTAGGGCTTCTCCCCGGCGTGCAACCGCTGGTGTCGCACCAGGCTGGACCTGTTGCTGAAGAACTTTCTGCACTGGGAGCACTGGTAGGGCTTCTCCCCGGCGTGCAACCGCTGGTGTCGCACCAGGCTGGACCTGTTGCTGAAGAACTTTCTGCACTGGGAGCACTGGTAGGGCTTCTCCCCGGCGTGCAACCGCTGGTGTCGCACCAGGCTGGACCTGTTGCTGAAGAACTTTCTGCACTGGGAGCACTGGTAGGGCTTCTCCCCGGCGTGCAACCGCTGGTGTCGCACCAGGCTGGACCTGTTGCTGAAGAACTTTCTGCACTGGGAGCACTGGTAGGGCTTCTCCCCGGCGTGCAACCGCTGGTGTCGCACCAGGCTGGACCTGTTGCTGAAGAACTTTCTGCACTGGGAGCACTGGTAGGGCTTCTCCCCGGCGTGCAACCGCTGGTGTCGCACCAGGCTGGACCTGTTGCTGAAGAACTTTCTGCACTGGGAGCACTGGTAGGGCTTCTCCCCGGCGTGCAACCGCTGGTGTCGCACCAGGCTGGACCTGTTGCTGAAGAACTTTCTGCACTGGGAGCACTGGTAGGGCTTCTCCCCGGCGTGCAACCGCTGGTGTCGCACCAGGCTGGACCTGTTGCTGAAGAACTTTCTGCACTGGGAGCACTGGTAGGGCTTCTCCCCGGCGTGCAACCGCTGGTGTCGCACCAGGCTGGACCTGTTGCTGAAGAACTTTCTGCACTGGGAGCACTGGTAGGGCTTCTCCCCGGTGTGGGTCCGCTGGTGGGCGATGAGGTCCGAGCTCTGCCCAAAGCTCTTCCCGCACTCCTGACACTTGTAGGGTTTCTCCCCGGCGTGCAACCGCTGGTGTCGCACCAGGCTGGACCTGTTGCTGAAGAACTTTCTGCACTGGGAGCACTGGTAGGGCTTCTCCCCCGTGTGGAAACGTTGATGCGCGATGAGGTCCCCGCTCTGGCCGAAGCTCTCCCCGCACTCGCCGCAGGCGTAGGGTTTGACCCCCGTGTGCAGCCTCTCGTGCCTGAAGAGGGTCGACCGCCCCCTGAAGAACTTCTCGCACTCGGAGCAGTGGTAGGGCTTCTCCCCGGTGTGGGTCCGCTGGTGGACGATGAGCTCCGAGCTCTGCCCAAAGTGTTTCCCGCACTCTTCGCACTTGTAGGGCTTCTCCCCCGTGTGCATCCTCTGGTGTCGGAAAAGGTTTGACCGGTGGCTGAAGCTCTTCCCGCACTCGGGACACTGGAAGGGTTTCTCCCCCGTGTGCGTCCGCTGGTGGACGATGATGTCCGAGCTGCGGGTGAACCTCTTCCCGCACTCGTGGCACTTGTAGGGCTTCTCCCCGGTGTGCACCGTCTCGTGCCTGATGAGGGTGGAGCGGTCCTTGAAGCACTTCTCGCAGGTGGAGCACTGGTAGAGCTTCTCCTCCACGTGGATCCTCTGGTGGAGGTTGAGGTCCGAGCTCTTCCCAAACTCCTCCCCGCACTCGTAGCACTTGTAGCGACGCTCTCCCGTGTGCCGCCGCCGGTGCTGGAGCCACTTGGATTTGTCCCCGAAGCACTTCCCGCACTGGGGACACTGGCAGAGCTGTTCTTCTAGGTGGACCTTCTCATGGAGGAGAAGTCTCGACCGGTGAAGGAAGCTTTTCCCGCACTGTTGGCACCGGAAAGGTTTTTCTCCCAGGTGGATCCTCTTGTGCCTCACCAGCAGGGACCTGTCTGGGAAGCACTTCTGGCACTTGGGGCACTGGTAGAGCTTTTCTCCCGCGTGCGTCTTCTGGTGGACCATCAGGTTGGAGCTCTGCCGGAAGCTCTTCCCGCACTCGCGGCACTCGTACGGTTTCTCCCCCGTGTGGATGCGGCGGTGGACGAGGAGGTTGGAGCTTTGGCCGAAGCTTCTCCCGCACTCGTCGCACGTGTACTTCTTCTCCCCGTTGGCGGAGCGGCGGCGGGACCCCGATTCTTTGGGGACCTTTTGGGTTCCTCCACGAGGGATGAGTTTATCCCCTTCCGGCCCCGTCTCGCTCTCGGGAGATGCCCCCCGCCGGGGGCTCCCCAAAACTTCGTGGTCCCCACCTCGCTCAGGGCTTTCTCCTTCTTCCTTCCTTCTCCCGGCGGCGCATCCCGCTGCGGGTGGGAAAATGGGAGAAACGGCTCATTTCTGGGGGGAAATGGCTCATTTTTTGGGGGGAAACGGCTCATTTCTGGGGGGAAATGGCTCATTTTTAGGGGGAAATGGC